GGGTTGGAAGCAGAGCTGGTTGCAGGGTTTGGGGTGATGCAGCCCCCGAGGTTGGGGCGCTTAGAGAATGGGAGGGTACTTGGTTTGGGGGGATCCGGCTCCTGGAGATTGGGGTGCCCAGGGTCTGCTTTTTGGGTGTTCAGGGTGTGTGCGGGGGGGGTCCTGTCCCCCCGGGTTGGGCTTTGGCAGTGCTGCTATATTGCTAAGTGGCGGGGGGGTTTGGGGGGAGCAGTGCTGGGGCACCCAGGGGGATAAGGACACACCAGTCGCAGGGTGCTGGGCTGAGTCCTGGTCACTCGCATCAGGCCTCTCTGGGAGCCCAGTGGCTCCTTATGGCCAAGCGATGGGGGAGTTCAGCTGCCAGGTGGCAGCCAGAGCCTGGGGCTGAGGCTGGCACCTTTGTGCTCCCGACAGCCCTGGGCACGCTCTATGATAGGACTAGTGGTCCCCTGTGGCCACCTCTGCCCATCCCACTTTCTCCCCCTTTGCAGAGCAATATTGACATGTAGCTACACATTCTCTTTGGATTTGCTGCGATAGTTTTCCTCTCAGTGACAGCAGATGAAAAATCATTTAACGCAGTAATCAGCAGTATGCTCTAAAAGTTGTAGGATGTGGATCTACTTGAGACGGTTGGGCTTCATTCGTCGACATCACATTCTGTCTTGTTATGTGACAAAACAATTAACCACAAAGGAGCCTTTTGATGTAGGATTGATCACTTGTGGCTTAGCATTTACACTGCTAAGCTAACTTGCTGTCTTTAAAAACGTGTGACCTTGTTAGCTGACTTCAGTCAACTTCATCTCAGGGCTCCAGGCAGAGATAGCGGGGGGTGCTGGACATCAGGTTTCAGGGCGCTGAGAAATCTGGGAGTGCGGGAAAGAGAGCAGGAAGCTTACGTGTGCTTTCTATAGCGCCACATTTGCTCTAAGAAAGAACCTTTTAAGAAAATCCATGGATAGTCTACGTTTTAACACACAGAAAGTTTCCCGGATCATTTGCTCAGGCTGTCTGTATTAGAGAATTGCCCAGTTACGTACCAGATTGCACGTGAAGTAAGAATGTAAGCTTTATAAGTTCTGAAAGAGGCGAACACAGCTTCTCTTTTATCTGATGCGGGAAAGTCCTGATATTCACAGTGTAAAATATTGCCCAGCATTCTCAGAGTTCCTCACTGGCTGAGTTGATGTGCGTTCTTTAGCTGGTTTGTCTCACCATCAGAAAGAAGACAAAGTAAAACATCTAACACATCTGAAAACTCTTCAAAGAGGGAGAGAGGAGCTGAGGCTGATAATGCCCAGCAGGGAAGGCTAAACAAGGAACCTGTGGGGCTAAATTCAAATTTGCTGAAACTGCTTGTAGGTGACTGTGTTGGATCCTGGACAAGGCACTTGGTTTTATTTTCTCTATCAGCAGAATGGAGATGTTTCATCTCTCTTTGACACTGAAGCTCACAAAGTTATGAGCTCCTTCCAGGAGCTGAAGAACAACACAGTGCTATTATTACTCGTGTGTAAAATAATCTGAGAAGTTAACGTGAAGTTGGGTGTCGTGCAGTGGTACCAGTCTAACTGGTAACTTCTTGTTTGCAGGAAGAGATGTCGGGAGAAAGTGTGGTGAGCTCAGCAGTGCCGGCGGCTGCGACTCGCACCACCTCCTTCAAAGGGACCAGTCCGAGCTCCAAGTATGTGAAGCTGAACATTGGTGGTGCCCTCTACTACACCACCATGCAGACCCTGACCAAGCAGGACACCATGCTCAAGGCCATGTTTAGCGGACGGATGGAGGTCCTCACCGACAGCGAAGGTAAGGGGCGCTCCCTGCATCCCTTGCACTGGCTTGCCTTCAGCTGCAAGGAAGCTAGCTTAGGAATGGGTTGAAGAAAAATTTAGAGAACAAACAGAGAGGAACATCTGATCATTGTTCCAGATGTTTCTGCGTTTTATTAATGTTACAACTACTATCTTATGCAACTGAGAACCCATGTGGAACAAAAGACAAGTATGACTGACTAGTTGTCCAGACAACAAGAGGATAATATGAAGTCCACAGGTCCCTGTCATAGCTGGATAAAACAGACTATCTTTCTCTTTTGACATACTGATACGAAAATTCTTAAGTTTATGGAAAATGGTTCGGATAGTGGTTAAGGAACTATGAGCCAGAACTCCCTTGTTTACTTTGAAGCTCAGAGGGCAGTTCCCTTGTTCTGTTTCCTTATCTGACATATAAAGAAAAAATTTACTTTGAATACTGTGGGGCTTTTTGATTGAGCTAAAAGCTAATCTTTGAAATGTAAATTTGTTTTCTTGTGAGAGCATTGGCTGTTGGATTCCCTAAAACAAAACTAGTTGTGAAATTTTAGAAAAATTGCTATAGGTATTCCTGGCAGCACATGGATCTCTCCAGTTAAAGGTGCCTGGAAAGAAAGAATCTGCAGAATGTCAGGTTACTGTCTTCTCAAAGAGCTGTGCTCAAATACTTTGCTTTCTCACAAAATATGTTGACTTTCTCTTCTGCTGTGCTTCCTTAAAACGTTAGCTATACTGTTAATTTAAGCTGCAAAAATGTGTTGATATCATGGCTGTGTACAACTTCGGGTATAATTTTGTATCAGCGTTCTCATATAATGGGAGTGTCACAGAGCTTAATTCAAAGCTCAGCTTTCTATTTATGTGATGGCGTTTTGCCCGTAACTATTATTTGTGAACTTGGATACGTTGTCTTTAACAATAGTTACTATGCCATTCATCTTAAAGCTTCAAAACACCTTTCTAGTGATTAATTAATTATTTGAAATTATTGTTTGAACTTGCTGAAAGCAGAGAAAGTGTATTACTTGGTTGGTCAATTGGACCTATTTTTGAGTGCTTTAGCATACAGTGAGCCTGTATTTGGAAGTCATTCAGAACAAATGATGGTTCAGTAAAGCGTCTGTGATGAACTTTCTTGAGATGGGAAGAAATGGATTTGGAGAAAAAATTTTAAAAAATACAACCCATTTTTTTGTCTGAATTTTCCTGTTTCAGACAGAAGTGCTTGTATTGAAGCCGGGGAAAGTAAGTTACGTTGATCCATTTTGTAATACCATGCCTTTGCAAGCTTTCAGCCACTGCATAGTATTAACCTTAGAGCTGTGATTTTTGAACTCCAGATCAAAGGGCCCATGGGCTACCTCTGAGAGGTCTGCGAAGGTTATGTAAAAAGCCAATCTGTGGGTCCAGTTGAAAAACAACTGTCAGATGAGAATCAGCTCCCTCGCCGGGAAGAATGGAGAGGTGTTGAGTGGAAAGCCTGTGAACCAGTACCTTGAAAGACCTCTCCGCTTGCTGCTGAACTTCAGGCAACTCCAGGGGGACACAGCTTTCTCCCTTCTCTCCCTAAAACTGCTCCATATTTTACAAAATTTCGTAGTTCCACACTTCCCAAGTCCTTCATCTTGGAAACTGATTGAAAGTTCCAGGTTAGGAATGGTCCCTGCGTGGTCTCAGCGCTTCCTCCGGGCTTCCTGGGCAGGTAGCATAGGAGCGCTCTTACACTGTGTTCCTAAAGCACAGAATTGACTGCTCTGCTTAAGTACAGGTACTTCTGCCTGGAGAGTGGCTGACAATATTACTGCTATTATGAGGCTAACTGGAATTTAATCCACTGAAATATCATGCTTGCGATGTAAGATCACAAGCTTATTTTGCTGCGAATCCCACTGTGTCTGCATGGGATTGTTCCATTTAGCCAGTTTATGTTTTAATAGGAATTTGACACTTCCTGTATGTTGTAAGTGAGACACTCCCGTTGCGGTAGTTCTTGTTTTATCTCCTGCTCCCTGGCATGTTGCTGGAAACTGGGACAATAGCATCATAGCTGTTAAAGGAAACTCTTTTTATCTGAAATTCTTCAAAATGCTGTTAGTTGGTCCCACCCAAAATCTGGCTCAAAACAAATTGTTTCTCAGGAAGAGCAGCCAAACTTGTGGAGCAACTGGAAAGAGCCAAGCTTCCAAACGATCTGTGGATCTGTGGAATGTTTCACAGTGCATAGCCTCCTCTTTATTTAGATGCATTCTTCTGACCCCAGTGCCATCTTCCAAGCTCTTTCTCAATGTTCAGCCGTTAGAACATGCTGCTACTCGGGCTGTACGAGAAATAGCTGGAGTTCTCTGGTGGTGGATGGCAGATGATTATTTTCAGCTTAGATACTGTTTGTAAATTGTAGCAAATCTGCACATTTTGAAAATTTTATCTCATTGTAATAGGAAGATAGAAGGATGCGAGTTTTCCAGGTCCATCAGTCTGTTTGTTTCCAGACTTTTCTTTCTGCAAAGTGATTTTTGTCCTCTCTCCCCACTGCTCTTAAGCAGTTGATCAAAGTGTGTATTTTTTGGTCTGTTGCTAGTAAGACTAGAGTGTCAGGTAATCTTCAGTGCCGGGGTACTACTCTGTCAAGGCTTAGTCAGAAAACGTAGTCTGTTTTAGTTTCAGTGTTTGGGTGCTGTCCCATGTGACTTCTTACAAAACAGAAGATTAATTTCCTAAAAATCTAATGTGTGTACATATAGTTCATGGATTACGTGCTGCTGCCTCAATATATGGGTTGCAAGACGTTTTTATAATACTACAATTTAAAAAGGGCTTTAAAAGACCCGGTTCTTAGGCTCTGCAGAGCCGTAACTAAGTGGCAACAGGGTTACTTTCCTGTGAGTCATCTCCTTTTAGCTGTATGTTTAGACTGTTTAGTTAAAACAGAAGGTTTTTTGAAAGTCACTTTAGCAGCCATTTGTATTTTGCAATACTGCTCAAAATATTTTCTCATCTCCCCCTCCACCTGAAAGAGAGCAGTTCTGCTTTGATTTCACCATCTGTAAACATGAAGTTGCAGCAGATTTTTACAGCCTACAGAGGGAATCGCAGCAGAGATGAAAACAGAGGAGTTTGGGGATCATAATTCTGCTCTCAGCCTACCCTTCACTTCCCTATATGTTTGGGGTACTCTAATAAACTTTATCAATGGCTACATTTGTGGCATTTGGACGGTTTGTTACCATGTTTTGTGCTCCCTTGCCTCCTCGTTAAAATGGGAGCTCTTGCTTTAAATACCTCTGCATTGAGAAATGAGCTTTTTTCCTGCTCTGGTTGGATAAGTATATTGTATTCGTTAGCCTGCATCAATCTTTTGTCCTTTGATTTCTGTCTCTTGTTTCCCTGCCTCCAGCTTTCTAGTTTGTTATTACTGTCTCTGAAAATTGCAGTTGTGAGCACACGTTGTGTTTTGCGTAGACAGAAGTGCCATGAGGGAGATGGAAAACCTGTAGTAAACTGCTGGAGAACATCTCACTTTTCAATTGAACAGCCTGAAAGGGCTGTGTTGGCTTTCCAAATTTAACCAAATATTCATATTTTATTAGTAATTCCATTCATGCAGTCTGCTTTAACCTAATTTCCTTATTTGTTCAAAATATGACTCCTTCCCCACAAGCGTTTCCTCATTGCATTCCTGAGTTGCAGCCCGTAAGAGTGGCCCTCTGTTCGTTTATGGAAACTTGAGCCTGGACGTTGTGTAACGTTTTTTCAGGGTCCAGCCTGTTTCAGGCAGCAGACTGGCAGCAAGAGGTGAAGGACAGATCCTTTGGTCACCAGCTAACTGTGAAGCATTTTGTTATGGCTCCGATTTCTTTTCTTTCCTCTGTTCTCAGTAAATAGCAGTGCTGGTGAGCTCCAGGGCTGGGGCTGTACGTTATGTTCTGCTTATGCATGCTGTTGCATCATGTCTTTTAGCAGATGAAGACGTTCTGCTAATAAACAGTTATTCTACCAAATAATGGTCTTTGGGAATATGGAGGCTGAAACAGGATTTGCAATGACACTGCCGAAGTCTGTGTTGTCTTTCTCTTTCCAACCTTTTTGCACATCTACTGGAGATGGTGGATCATAGCGGGTCCCAACACTGTTCAGGTACAAGACTCGTCAGCTGGTCAAGTCTGATTGGCTCTAGTGAGCTGTCTTCATTGTGGCTATAAGGAATGGCCACATGTGTATGTAACAGGGCCCTAGGATAGAAGGCAAGAAAATAACGTGGCAGGGATTCTAGAAGTGGAGGAAGAACTGGTTTGAGCGTGAGAAGTGTTTATTCCCCTGTTTCAATTAATCATTTGTCAGTAGTTGGGGAACTCTGAAAAACAAATGAGCTTCCTACCTTTCTGTCACATATGCGCTTGAAGAAATGCAGGAGACAGTAAATTCCCTGTGCAAGTACAGCTTTCTGTCAGCTCAAGCAAAGAATTGGAGTTAGTCTTTCTTAGCAGGAACCTGCTCAGTAAAGCAATCCCCGTCACCCAGTAATCATGAGACACTGCTCTTTGGGACGCTGCAGCCTGACACACAGCACTCGTATTTTCAGAGCTGGTTTCTCACTTGGGACTGGAGGAAGCCAAGGTAAAGACCCTTTGCTATGTTTTCCTCCTCTATTTCTGCTGTACTGTTGTCTTCACCTTTCTTAGGCTGGATTCTAATTGACCGCTGTGGGAAACATTTTGGGACGATACTGAACTACCTGCGTGACGGGGCTGTGCCACTCCCTGAGAGTCGCAGAGAGATAGAAGAGTTGTTGGCTGAAGCAAAGTATTATCTGGTCCAGGGGCTGGTGGATGAGTGCCAGGCAGCCTTGCAGGTAGGTCGCAGAGCTGATGAGGAGCCCAGCTGCCACCAGTACAAGGAAAGATCAAGATGAGGAGCTTGCCCTGGGTGGGAAGTAAACTCTGGACAGAGCTTCAGTGTGCACAGCAAGATTTTTTGCTGGTTTCCACTGGATGCCTTTTTGAGGTTGGATTATGGCCAGGAGTGGAAATACTTTGTGTCATTGATCTGCTGGAGCCTAGCCACATCCAGAAAACCATACTGAGTTGTTATCAACAGGTAGTGCCACCCAGTTACAGTGAAGGAAGAACAGTTGCTCAGTTTCCCTCCACTCACTGCTGTGCAGGGAGCAGAAGCCTGGCTCCTCTGCGGTGTTCTCCACTGACTGTTCAGGGTCTTGTCCTCCGAGATGATCCTGGGTTCTTCGTCCTCAGTGTAAACTCTCGCCATTTAAATATGGATATAATGTTCAGTCCCAGGGTTTCAGAGTGGTAGAGAACACACATGAGCAGCTTGGACAGTCCCAGAGGGATGCCGCCTGGCAACTGGAGTGCCATCCTGGCACAGGACGCGGGCCGGAAACGGCCTCCCACTGCAGTGTGAGGATGAACACTGAGCTTGTGTCGCTTGAGCTGTAGCACAGAATATGTACGTTTTCTCAGTTAATATGGATGGTGCCCTAAGGTCTGTTTACATTCAGCTGCTCTTTAATTCTTGTTCCAGCAGAACAAAGATGCGTATGAACCGTTTTGCAAGGTACCAGTGATCACTTCTTCCAAGGAAGAGCAAAAACTTATAGCTACTTCTAATAAGGTAAGAAAGGTTGGGCTGTGCTGTATCTTGGGTGAATGTTGGCCTGCTGCCCTGAAAATTGCACGGAACCTTGACCAAATAGTCTTTAGAAGATCGTCTTTAGTTTTCAACAATGGACTTATCCTAAAATACGTGTGCTTTTAACTGTTGCAAACGCAGAACATTGAAAACCTACACCAGACTAAACATTTCTGAATTAATGGTCAAATACTGCTCAGGCTGGGCCTGTCCATGTCTTTCTCCACTTTGCATATTAAAATAGAAGGTGTAGACTGTAGCAGGTTGATCAAGCAGATCATCAGGGCTATCAGATCTTTCATTTATTTGTCCACCCTCATTAGTAATGACAAATACTTACATTAGATGAAGGGAATTAATGACTCCTGTTCCTGGAAGCCTGCTAGTTGTGGTGGGTGGAGGGATGGATGCTGGTGATAATGATTAGTCTTGGCAAAAAGACAGAGGGAGGATAAGAATGAATTATGATCTAGTCACAGAAGGGATTAGAAGGGATTGCAGCCCCATTGCCAACTGGTGCATGACAGTTTTGCAGCAACAACAGAATCCCACTGGGCTTAGGCTTGAAGGTGTCATTTCATACTGCAGCTCCTCCACTGTATGGTCTTGGGGCTGAGCTGAGATTCCAGCTCTTACTGCACTTTCTGTAACTGATCTGTTTTGTTTTTTACAGCCAGCAGTGAAGTTGCTATATAACAGAAGCAACAACAAATATTCCTATACCAGGTAAATAACTTCAATTGTACTTCTTTGAAGATGTTCATGAACTAAAGTCTATAGTAAGCCGTAGCTTTTTCTTCAGTCAGAACCAATGACAGATTGGTGCTGGCATGCGCTCATTTTTTTTCCCAGTTAATTTCAAACTTGAGTCAGAAAGGAGCCTACTGTCATCAATAGAAGACTAAACGTGTACTATTTTTGTGACAGAAAGGTTCCTCTAACGCTTAGGTGCAGCTGGCAGAGGCTGCTGGCCAACTGCTGGCCTGCGTTCCCCATGGGCTACAGCACATTAGTTGAGTACAGGAAGCCTTCCATGGTGCAGTGTTTTCAATATGTGGTAAAATCATCAAGTCTGAGTCGTTGTCCTCTTTTTGTTACGTGTGCATAAAAGCTGCATGGCGTAATGCATCTGGCTGGTGCTAAGCTTGAGCTGAAGGAATGGTTTCATTGGGGTGATAGACTTCTGTACACAAGTGCAATGCCCTTGGACAGTGTCGTTCACAGTCCTGTTGATGTCATGTTACTGCTTCTTCAGGAGCAGGGTATCCTGCTTGTACTAGTCAAATGAGTTACCACTGCAGTCCTGGATATCAACTCTAAACACTACCTTGGTAGAGTCGCAGTAAGTCAAAGGAAACTGGGCATATGGGCCTCTGAATGCTCACTGGCTGAACCCCCCCTTCTGTTCTATATGCTGTCTTGATTACCCTTATGTGACTGCTGCTCTCCTTGATCTCTCACAGTAACTCTGATGACAACATGCTGAAGAACATTGAACTATTCGATAAGCTGTCCTTGAGGTTTAATGGCAGAGTGCTCTTTATAAAAGATGTGATAGGAGATGAGATCTGCTGCTGGTCTTTTTACGGGCAGGGACGGAAGATTGCTGAAGTCTGTTGCACTTCCATTGTTTACGCTACTGAGAAAAAACAGACAAAGGTACGAGTAAACCCCTGAATGCTCTCAACGGCAGGTCCAGCTGCCATCAGGCTGGCATCCTGACACCTGTTCTGTTTTGAACACTCCCTTCATTGCTTAGCATGTCTATGGAATAATCAACGCCATTCAAAGTGGGAACAGCTCAGTGGAGCTGATCCTGTGTGTTCATTAGGACAGGGACTGTGAGGCTGGAACACTTAACACAGGGCAGTTGGGATATTCCATAATGCAAATTCATTCCAATTCTAGTCTTTAGACAAACTTGTGCACTTGACCAAGTCTGGTTTACGTTCCTTTGTAAAAACAGTTCCTGAAGAGCAATGGCATTCCTTCCCTGTACCTCCTTGGCTTCCCAAGGAGAGAGCTGTCAGAATCTGCCCTGCAGACAGGCCAGTTCTGAGAAAACTGGTTGTTGGGCCTCAGGATTGAAAGTGGATAAAAGAACAAGGGTATTGTTCTAGAAAGGATTTCTACAGCCAGAGTGCAAGTGGGAAAATTTTTAAAACAGAGAGGGGTCAGAAGGAAAAAGTGAGGTATCCTGCTGTCTGCAGTGACTGACAATAGGTAAATGTGACCTTATTTCTCTTGGGCGGCCAGGTGGAGTTCCCAGAAGCCCGCATTTATGAGGAGACACTGAACATTCTGCTGTACGAGTCCCAGGATGGGCGAGGACCCGACAACGCACTCTTGGAGGCCACAGGAGGAGCAGCTGGCCGCTCCCATCACTTAGATGAAGATGAGGAGCGAGAGCGCATTGAAAGGGTGCGACGAATTCATATTAAACGTCCGGATGACAGAGCACATCTGCATCAGTGAGCTGAGTGACAGCTGCAGACTGCATAGTTGTGTCCAGAAGGTGCTGCCCTCGCCCGATCCATTATCTACAGTAGAAGACCAGGCAGCTTAACTTCTGTTCAGTAAAGTCTGTAAATTATGTTTTGTAACAAACTAGATTATTTGGAGTATTTAAATGAAGTAGTTCTAGAACAAGAATTAAAAAGGTTATTGGGTGTATGATAGATATTGTAAGGCCCTATTGAGCATCTGGAGAAATGCCCTGAATTTTTAGCACTCATCTTTGCTATTGGGTGGCTAGTGAGAAAGAGGGCTGGCTTCCTTCGGCTTTAGTAATTATCCTGCACTTTTAAAAAAAAAAAAAAAAAAAAAAAAAGTCAGCCACTTACCTTCCTAGTAGGCACTCACTGACCCTGTCCGCTCCTGGGTTTTACAGTGTGGGAGAAATGCCATTATCTAAACAAACTAGAGCTATTGTAGAGTTCCCTCTCTCCCAAGCCTGTAGATGATGGGGTTGGTAGCTCCAGAGTGCCTCTGTGTGACTCCTGGAAGGACAAACGACACGTGCTGGCTAGATTCCTGTAGTGCTCGGGGGCAGAAGGAGCCTGTGCGATGCCAGGCTGCGTTGGTGGATGTGCTCTCCAGGCAGGTGGAAGGGAGCACGGGAAACAGCTTGGGCTCAGCTTGCCAGGCTGGCTGTGTGCTCCCAGCAGCTCCCGGGACCTGCCCCTTGAGCGGTTTGGTGATACTCCTGCAGCACTGAACTGTAGAGACCTGCTTTATTGGTGCAGTTCAAGGGTGGGCGATGTTAAGATTCCTCCAAGAGGAGGAGTAGGAGCAAATTGTACTTGACTGCTTTTCCTTAAGGTGGTGATGCTACCAATTGGTCAGTGCTTAATACTTCTGCTTCACTCCAGATCTCAGTTGAGGTGTGTGTTTGCCATCGGATGCTGGATCTGTGAGCTATGCTGTCTTTATTACGTTTTCCACAGGTAAGGCTTCATCACAGATTGCAAACGCTCCATGCAAGCCTAGGGTAGGTAGGAGGCCAGCGGATGTAGTTCAAGTTCTGTAACTGATACAGGAGCATTGTCTTGCTTTGAGTGAGGGCAGCAGGATCGCTGTGGGGAAGAGGGGTAGACAGTGGCACAGAGGGAGTTATTCCTTGTTTGCCTCTATCCTGAGCATATTCCAAGTCTCTTCAAGAAAATGGCAGTTGTGTGTGAAAGGGCAGAGCTAAAATGTTGTGTGGAGAACAAGCATGTATTCTAGTTTTCTAAGAGTACTTTCCTATTACAAATGAATATTTTATCTACCTCTTAGTCTCTTGTTGCCTACTATGGAGTCAAGTAGCAAGTATAGTGGAAGCTCATGTATTATTCAATGGGATTGGATGCTAAAGGATAATGAGAAGAGCCACAGTTGTAATGGTTAATATAACAAATCTTGGGAGGGAGGGAACACCTGCAGTATTAAACTTCAATCAGGATGACACCTTGGCAGACAACAGATTACTTTGGCCTATTTTAGAGTTTTTTGAGTCTTCATCTGGAATATCTAGGCCTGGCCTTAATGGCCAGACATCCCATACAGAGTTGTGATTCCATGTTCCTGTTATTCAGTGAAGTTGTTAGTTGCTTTTGTCAAACTTCCTGCTGCAAGGATTCATATTCCTGACTCAAAGCTGATTATGGCAGAGTAACACTTTAAATACCAAAGGTGTTGTCAGCATCACCAGCTACATTACTCCAGTACTTGTATTTCTAATAGCGGTTACATCCGAAACTACGTACAGCCCGTCGGTAGAGGCTAAAATAAAGCGTTAAGCCTTTTGTTTGCTCAGTGGTACAATTCTGGAGCATTGTGTAAAACTAAAAAAACTTCCAAAGTTAGGTTGAAGACTTCCTTCTAGTAACCAAAGACTTTTCTAGTTACAGACAGCTGGTGTCTGTGGCAGATGTGGCGTTGTAACTGTCTCCTCTTTCTTCTTCAGATACTGATTGATAAGTAAGAGCTCAACAGGAAACAAAGTATCAGTTATACTGTAGTTCAGTAGCTTCATGTCCTGACAGTTATGGGCTTCTATTTTACGCTGTACCGATGTGTGTGTTTGTCACTGATGCAGCACATCTTAGGTTTGTGGAAGTTCATAGCGCAGACTGTTGTTGTGAAGGACCCAATGCCTCTCCCTTCTTACCTATCTGATGTTATAAGCTGGGGGCAGGGGGAGAGCGGTGGAAGGAAAGTCCTCTGAATTGCTCTGCCCCTTCAGCGCTGTGCGCTTTGACACTTACTGGCATATTAATGGGCTCTCAGTGGGTTTCTGAGAGCCTGTGACTGACTACTGTCCTTGACGTAGTTTAGAAGCTGCACTGTTTAAAGCCGTTCAAAGTCCCTTGTCTCAGCCGTCCATCTGTGCCTCCTGGAGGACGTTAGTGAATGAAAAGGAATTTCACCAGCCAATTACTGTAGAATACAGTGATAGTCCTGAGAGCAAACCCTGCTTGCTTCTTTAATGCTACTGAGGTGGCTCCCTCCTGTAAGAGAAGAGGGACAGACCATCTTCATCCTCCTGCTCAGTGGGACATTTAGCTGTGCTGATTTCCCCAGATGGTGCAGAGGAGCCTCCAGCACTGGCTGTTCAAATGAAATCCAGTAGCTTCTTGTAGTGTAATAGCAGGTTTGGCTCCAGGAGTTGAAGTATGTTGACACTAGTGCTAAGCACCTGACAGATCACATCTAAGTGATTAACTTCTCTGTAAATAGTTTCTTCACTGGCTTCAGCATTTCTTCTTCTAGTTTTTACAAACTTAGTTCTTAAGAGGGGGGGGAGGGAAGGGAGAGGGGATTAGTTGTAATCTTTGTAGAGTTGCTTATAGAGGTATTGGTCATTTTAGGAAGTCACTCCAGGAGACTTGGGGCACAGGTTGAATAAATCGAAAATTCCATATTGGATTTATGGACACAGGCTCTGCCTTAAGACACTCTTAATTTAGCCCTCTAATTGCTGTAGTTGTGTAATAGAACTGTACTGTTGTCATGTGTTAGAACGTCCCTTACCTACTGGCCGGTTGCCCTTGGTATAGGTTTGACTGGTCTGTCAAGGGAGACTTAGTGCACAAAGCCAGCTCCCACAGCCAGTTAATGCCATTGCGTAACTGCTGTCAGCTCTTGAGCCTTTTTACTTTAAATGTTTTTGCCTCGATGGCTTTCAGTTGAAGACAGGGCAGTGAACAGCTATCCTGGTCGCAAGCAGCTCTTAGATTTATCTAGTACTGTGTGACATTAACAGTGCGTGCAGAACGGTCTTGTTTGATTCATGCACGTTACTCTCCAGCGCCCCAGAACAGGCACTAATACTGACGGTATGGCAGAGCAGAGCTGACTAAAATCTTCGTCCTGGAAGTGTTTTTATCCTTCAAAGTGAAGCAGAAAACCTTGCCTCAAGCTTGCAGTGTAGGCAGGAGTAACCACCAGCCCACGGTTTAAAGGTAGTTTAGGATGTGTTTACGCTCAAATACATCAGTGTAGCTGTAACACCATAGAACAGCTGCATCTGTATTTACACAGAGGCCCAGGCAGGTTTTAGAGCACACACTGAGCTCCACCTGCTGCAGGACACTGCCGGTTTAAAGCTGTCATATATGTTTCCAAGATCCAGTCCTCCCTTTAATGAAAGGTAGGTAGAACCTTGTAGTCTTAACAGAATTGTTCTGTTTCATGGACAACAGTAGCAAGTTTATCTGTTCTGTACAATCATTCCCTCCCATTTTATACTTATGCACAAAAAAGCTTAAGCTGGATTTCAATGTATGGTTTGTGTTTGCAATATGTACTTTTCATTTTTTAATATAATACAAAATAAATTAGAAGATATTTCATATTTACATGGGAGTTGCTTTATTACTTGTTTGAAGTCCAATGCCTATCACACTATCCTCATGGTCCATAGCAATAGAAAATACTTTCAGAAAGAAATATCCAACATTACCTTCCCACTTGGTTGTCATTTTTGCCTTACGGCCACCGCTTATGACTGAATCGCCAGTGACCTGGCTCTCAGGATGCTGCATGCACCAGGATATAAAAGCAGCAAGTCAAGGATCTTCAGGCTGTAGTTTTCAGCCTAGCCAGCAAACTGGAGCAGGAGCCACACAAATTTGCCTCAATGTGAGGCAGAAGAGTAAGCACTATGAACATACAGACTGGCAGTACAGCTGTAGCTTCCAGGGAGGGGGGAGCAGAGGAAAAGTCTTGTCTTCCTCCCACCCCCATCCCTTGTAGCTGCCGTAATACAGTGACTCCTACTACAGAGCACTCACCCTCTCAGGAGGGAGCAAAATCTCAGCTCTTTGGAGAGAGATGACTGTCCTTCAGAAGCAGGAAGAGACTGGTCTGTTCACAACTGGATTGCACCAGGTTGGCGCATCTCAAAGCTAAGGAATTTTGCTCAGCTTTCACATTGCCAATTCCACTGCCTCAGTCTGACTGCCCTGTGCCTAACCGTTGCGCAGGGAAAAATAAATGTTACTCCAAGAGGAAAGATCTTACCCCATGTCGCAGTAGACAAGAAAGCTGTGTGCTGAGATTTCCAGATGAGCAGCCTCAAATGCCGATACACTGACTCACAAAGATCAGTGCCAGCCTTATTCTTGCTACATTTAAAAAAAAACATCTCTGCATACTAAAGGACTAACGGCTGGTTTTGAAGGCTTTGCCAGTTTGCCTGGGAGAAAAGGTGTTTTCAGAGCAGAGTTAACATCATTGATCCGCACTTTATGCAGTTCTCCTGGTTAGTACAGTGACTCAAACTTTAGCTAGAGAAGCCTTTTTACTTCTCCCTGAATTCTTCTTCTAGTCTGAATTCTCAGCTTTAAGGTTACTGCCGTGCACAAAGACCAACATTTTACAGGTTGGAACTTCAACATCTTGTTTAAACACTTGCCTGTGACAATGTGCGATTAGCATCTATGCTCACTGGAACGTTATAGCAACATAATGGAATCTATTTAGCTACAGTTGAACGGTTTTAAGCTATAAAAAAAGAACCTAAAAGATGCAAGAAAACTCTCAAATCACAGCAGCCCTATGGCATCAAAAGTTCCAGTGGAGATGTGGGTGCTGATCTCATCCTGCAGGCTCCTTTCTGTTCCTAGCCAAGACAATGACCAGGAACAGTTCCTGTTTCTCATCAAGACTTTATCTGGGTTGACACCTGGGATGAAAAAGGAAGGAGTCATTAATTTAAGTACACATGTTATGCCCTTCAGGTGCCCTGCCTGTGGTAAAAGGGGCTGTGTTGTTTCTGTTCAACTATGGGCACATAAAGCCACCTCCCTTCATCTCTGGGGGATGCAGAGAGTTAACCAGTGCCTTGAGCGGTATTGCACCTCAGTACCTAATTCCTCCTTAGAGCGTTCAGCTAACTATCAAATAAGCTAAGGTCACCTTTGAAGCAGCATTAAATATTTACATCTTTCCTTTCTCTCCATCCACGCTTGTTTACTGTCCTGCAGCCAGGAGCTGGTAGAGGCAGTGTTCTCAGTTTTAACATGCCTCACTGCCTGAACATGAGCAAGAACAGGAAGTAAAGCTCCACTCCAGCCCGTTTTCTGCAGCTACACATGGAGTCAGAATTCATTCTCTCCTCAGCAGCAGTGCTGCTAAGGCTGCCGCTAGATCAGACAGCGCCTTCTCAGATAGCCTGCTTGGCTTAGAAGAACAGTTTTTCCCTCCACCCCACAACTAATTTCAGATACAGTTTGGCTAGGGGAGGCAGCAAGAGGTAGAGGCAGAAAGAGGACTAAGTTTGCAGGTGCATGTTGAATTCAAACTCAGGCTGAACTCTCCAAATTAACAAGCCAGGAGATACTCTTGCTCCCCTTCCCCAAGCTAGTTTGGCGGAGCAAGAAGGAGTGGAAAGTCACAAGCAAGGTGAGTAGCTGCACAGACTGATTACCATCTATTATGCATTATCTGATGTAGGACAGATACTGACTGGGTAGTTTTGTCTTGCACAGCTCTTGTGCTCTGAAAGAGGAATTGAGGCCTCCTGAGAAACTTATAAAACAGGCACTTGCAAGACTAAGTTAGCTGTGCTCCCTACAGGGGTTGAGCATCAGAGCAGAAAGTGTTAAGTCATATTCCCAGTATTTAGATGAAGCCTTACCACTGTTAGTTGTCCATTTTTGGCTCTAAAGATCTGCGGCTCCTGCCCAACAGTGAAAATCATCGTCCCTTCTTTCCCGGAGCCAACACGAAACTGAAGACTGCAAGTACACAGAAAATTGCTCATTATATTCTTTCCTCACAATAGGCTTTACTCTAAGCTCCCCTTATTTCTATTCCCTTGGCAAATCTTGTTAGATTAGAAGATCAGAACCCTCCAGCTTAGGTAAATTTCCTAAACAATTGCATTATACCACACAACCCAGAAGGATTTGATGAATGGAGCATGCCTGCCTGGTCTGGGCATTAGAATCTTTCCTGCTGCAATTAAGCTTCAGAAGATAAGCAGATCTGGCCTGGAGAAAACTACTGAATACACAGAATCTAATTACAATTGAAATGCAAAGGCCAGAGAGAAAAGCTGGAGGAGCAGTACAGGTTTCATATGCCAGTTTCAATTTATGTATAGATTTAAGAGACAGACTGCATCCACCTGTCATTAGTTTGGTGGCGTGGCTAAGAAGGTTCCTGTGTTCAGCAGTCACATTTTATGGCCTTTTGAATCTTTTAGGGAGAGGAGCATTTTTCCTGAAGTGACCTGCAGGCTTAGCCCACCAGGCTTTTCTCAGAGCTGGTTCTGATGAGACTCACTGTAAAGCCACTAATCTTACCAATCTCTTGCAGAGGTCACATGAGTAGGAGATTGGTGGGTACAGCCAGATCCAACGGGTCTGCCTGTAATGCTACAACAGTAGGCGGGGGAAAGTGTTTTTAAAATACAGTCACCTGTTAACAACTTTTATTTTTTGCCTGGATCACAGGCAACTCCTGGAGCAGCACACCTTAACTACATGCAGCCATAACCATCATGGAAGTAAGCTTTGTTAGAACTGGTAATGGGTTGTAATGATTTTTAATATATTATCTTGTTCCAGTGCGTCCCACCTTGCTCCCCCAGTGCCAAGGAAAAGAAGGCACCAGAACAGCTGTGCTACTGCAACAGATCTCTAATCAGCTTATAGGGCAGTGTCTGCTGCTCTGACAAAAATAGCCTTGACCTAAGTAGTCCAGACCTACAAGTCTTTAAAGCAGATTCTTACACAAAATACAGCCTGCACAATTCTATCCATTCTTCACAATTTCTTACCTTCCCTGCACAACTTTAACAAGATTTTGCTTATTGGCCAGCATGCAGAGTTTAGTGACTGTCTCAAAGATATGCTCACATTGAAGTATCACATCTCCCTGGAAACAAGAAAGATGATGCATAAAGCCATCTGATATTATACCTGCACGTAAGCTAGTCAACAGTTCTTTGTTTGGGGAAACTCCTTTCTACTGCTAGAGTAGTGAACTGTTGTACAGAAATGAACAACAGCCACATACCAATTACAAATAATCACGTACAAGTTTTGATTTGTTAAAAATCCTTTCCTAGGCCCATTTAGGATTTATAGCAACTTTGATTCTAACAAAGAAAGGGAAGGCTTTCATAATGAGGCAACAAGAATTTAAAGGACTAGCTGAGCTACAGTATTAGTAAACATCATGTATGGTGTACATGTAATGGTGTATCTGAGTAGTTCATAGGAAAATATTAAAACTGTCAGCTGCAAGTCCTTGTATCTAACCACGAGCATACAGTAGCTACATTTCAACTTTCTACCTTCTGTTTGTTGTCCTCAGGAACATGAATGACTACAATTCCATCACTCAGGTTACTGGTAGAAATGCCTTCAAAAGAAATGCAAGAGTTAGTTACAGGAAAAACAACCAAAGACAGTTATACAATGTGATCATCATCTTCCCAGTTTAAGGAGGGTGCTATTCTTGCAATGGCAGTGACTCAAGCTCTGTCCTGTTTGTAGAAGGAAGCCATATTCCTGAAGAGTCACTGTACCTTTTAAGTGTGAAGGAAGTATATTCCCCAGCTTAGACACCTTCAAGGAATTAGTATAGTTTTATTTTGCCTTAAGTCTTCAGAATACATTTTGAAGCTCTCTTTGTCGACCATTAAATGTTTGGCCCAGACCCTTCCGCACTATCCATGCATCCATGAACCTAGCATAATTGGTGTTCTTTTGAGGTGCTTGGAAACATCTATTCCCACTAAAAAAGTTTCCCTGCCCCTCCCCAAACAAACATTTGATTCTAGTAAACACTTCTATTTATTTCCCTAATCCAAGCAAAAAGTGACCATAAGAGCGCAGAGACTAAGACCCATTACTGCTGAACATTTATGAACAGAAAGGTTCTGAGGGGCGAATGAAATGAGTTGGTTGTTTTTCAGACAAGGCTGTATCTCTTAAAAACACACGCACACAAACCAGCAATAGATGGTTACAGTAAAGGAGGCGGCTACCCCTGGACTATAGTTCATTCCAGTTGCAGGATTAAAACAATACCTATGAAATAGGGTAAGAAAGTTTTCCCCCCCCGCCACCTCATTTCCGCAGGCAAAAAAAGTCTTCATATTGTTAAGTATTTCAAGGTATTATGTCCTCCTGCTCTTAAGTCTTTTAAGAAACTGCATGATGACCTGCAGACCCTTTAGCCAGCCCACAGGAAAAAATGTTGTCAGGTAGATCACTGCTTCGAGTGTCTTTGAAAGACCAAGTTTCAGAAGTTTGTCTTTTCACCCTCAAGATCATTGATGGAAAGTCCAAGAGTGACTTACACCATTACCTTTCAAGGTAGCATAGTCTATTTTTTGTTTGATCTTGGCCATTTCCACCACATAAGCTGCAGACTGGGTCAGAACAAGTAGCCGTTCTCGTGCCTTGAACCCATTCCTGTCATATTTTACCACAGGGGTCACGTACTGAAAATAACAAGTTCGTGTTAGTATTTCTCACTACAGCAGGGCTCTGCACTGGAGGCACTTCAGGAACAAGCAAGCAACACCGCTCTGTGGAGCCAAGATCTACAGCTTACAGTGGCCATTGCCACTTCCCGCTTGTAATCTGTTTCTTTATGCTTTGAAATTCGGATGGTAAACCATTTTCTCAAAACATGATGCTATCTGTGCCCTCTATGCCATAATCATGGAAAGTGCAGCACATTTCACTTCTACTGCTCATTATAGCTCCATCAGGAATGACGCTTGTTAAGCTGTTATTAACAAATAGACTTAAAATAATCTTTTTGTCCAGGTATATTTTGAGACCCGCCTCCAGTTTAAAAGCAAAGATATAATTGCTACTACACTGCTACTCAGGTCTCTGCCCTGCCACCTAGCAATGGCTGCCAGACTGCTGCAGGCATCAAGGCTCACTCCAAGTCTCTGTGGCTGGCTGCCAGAACTCTGGAAAATAGCTGGTTCAAGAGCAGCAGTGCCTGCTGATGGGTAGCTAAATTCCAGTTTTCTTTTACTTACCTTGATCTTCTCACCATGGATTAGCTGCAATACTTTGGGGTTTACATCATTCTCTTCTGAGAAGCAAACCAGAAAGACACAAACTGAGCGTAGGCAATGGATTGCTCACATTCCTAGCAGCAAAAAGCTAAACAGCTACATTAGTTGTCTTAATCCCATTAATCTATGTCCTATTTCAGCAGTACACTCCCTTCTAAATTGAGAGTGTTCATGTGCAACTCGTCCTAAACCTGTTTCAGTGATTTTTTTCTGCCTGAAAAGTAACTCATGCTGGGAGTTAATGACTTTTCCGATAGCGAACCCAGCCTTTCATCCACCACCCACTGTTTGCACCCCTTGCAATGGGCCAGCAGAGCTCTTTTCTCATCCTGTCTATATGCTTAACACAGACTATACAGATTCCCAAGATTCACATCTCTCCTTCCTCCACAGCCCCCTTTATTGGGATTGGATCCCCTACAGCTAGCAATGTTGCACTACAATGTCTCAGCTCAGCGTCTCTGCTCCATTCAGCATGGTGAAGGTAGGTCCCAGTCACTCCCAGCCCATGTGGGATTTCACCCAGGATTATGGCTCTCTGTCCCAAGAGGGATTCCAGCTACTCCGAGTCTGAGAACAAAGTCTAGCAGATTGATTAACAGTGACCACTAAACATGACAGGGCAAGGGATCTCAAATGGCAGGGACCAAATCCAGCAGGAGAGGCTGCCTCTGACAGACAGGGACTCCCCTCTTAGAAACCGAATCTATTTTGTCAGATAGAATTTTCCTGAGCAAGGACCACGTCCCTCAGGACGTTTGTGTACTCACTTAGTCGAGTATCCATGAAAGGCTGGTTTATGCTCTGCAGGTAGCCCTCCTTCTTCCCTCTGAAAATGGCACTTGCTACAACTTTTTGCTGTAACTGTTTTAAGAAGGAACATCTTTACCCTCTTAAGAGTTTCTTCATTAATAACATCAGTAGTTATAATGCAGGCATCATTGCTAGACAATATTATTCTTTGATTCATGCAATATCTGACTGACTCATGCTGCATTTCTTCTAACATCTTTAGCTTACTCCTGTACTACAGCAAACAAAGAGGTAGGAGGGGCAAACAGTCTTACAGATCCTTTCTTATTTATAGATCTATTTTGTTTATATGAAATGCAGTTACAGTGCCATAAGATTGAGACCTGTGCCTCTGTACAACTGCATTGCACATTTCAAGTGCCACTGAAATGTGAACACTGGACTCCAGCCTCAGAAGCGTTTGCTCAGTGTAAGGTGCAGCGATCTGTTAAAAGGTACAGTTTCTGTTTCAGATAATTCACTGAAGAGCACGAGAGGCACACAGTATGTTTTAACTTGCATGTTCACATTCCGCATCTTAGTTACCTGTACTTTCCTCTCAGCAGTAACTCCTCGGCAGTATTTTCTTACTAGGTTCCTAATACAGATTTTCTGTAGCATCTCAGATGTCTAGAAAAAAAAAAAAAAGTCCTAAAAATAGCTTGCAACAGACAAACATTTGCTAACATCTAGTGAGAAGTCCAGTAATCATTTGACAGGACAGTACATTTCAGCTCTTGCAGCCCAGAGCCCCACCTACAGAACAGCTTTCTGTTAATGCTTATACAACAGCTGAAAGACATAGGACACCAAGCGAATGAATTATTACTGGAGTTACTGAAAGTAGCAAATACCATCTGTCACCAGCACATGAGCCTACAACACAGAGCAGGTAGCATGCTATTAGCATTGTTTTTCACGTTATCTTCAGTTTTACCTTTTTAATATCCTCTACCCACCTGATGTTCTGAGCACTGGCTACAGCCAGCGTGGGAGTGATCTTTATAGTCTTGATCTAGTCTAAGAGGAGGATCAAAGGAACAGTAACAAGTGTCAGCAGCTGTTTCTAAATGAAAGTTCTGCTGGAAGCAATTTAAAGTTTGTCCAGCTTGTGCAGTGAGGATGCCCGTCCTGCCAAAGCTCAAAAATAAGATAAAAGGCTACAAGTTTCTATCTGTGCTGCAAGGTTAAAAGGTTACAGGATTTTTTCTTTGATTGACCTCAGGAGCTCACTCACATTTCTGATGCTGTACCTTCCTTCCTTTTGCTTAAAACAAAGCATTACGCTCCCTCCTTTCCCTCAGAAACTTAAGCAACAGTGACATTCCTCCCACTCCCTTCCTCCCCTCACCCATATAAATGATCTCGTGGTCTTCCAAAGGTTCTGCAGTCCTGTCTGATCGGAGGACAATCCAGCAGGAGATCACTGCTCTTTCCTTTTAAATGAAGTGTAAACACAAATAACCATATAACAGAAGCCATCTTTACCACTCACCAAGCCTGCACTGAAACTCACCTCTTCTAGGATAGAAGGGGGCTGGAGCCAGCTCTTGTCCAAGACATTTTTTGGAACGTGGTCTCTGAGCTTCATAAAGTAGGTATACTGCACAAGCCGTACAAATTCAATGTTCTCTGGGCAAAGAGTCTTTTTTCGATTGATGAAGCCATTTATGAATCTACAGAAAATATCCCCAAACAGAACTTACATGTTATGTTCAGAAATCAATGGAAATGAAAGGGAAATCATAAAAGGCATGCAACCAGCTAACAGATCACTGACACTCGGGTACAATCACCTGTATTACAGTAATGAAAATCTTAAGCTTTGCAATATGTCAAATATCATTAATAAAATTTTCCAAGTTCCATTGATCAGAATACAGTGATTTGGAGTTTAAAAAGAAGATCAGATGCACTTCTGAATTCAAGTATTCAGGAGCTGGACTTAAGGGAGTGGAGAGGGAAGATCACATATGAGGAGAATGGATAAGCTTACAATAATTGGTTTGGAGATCCTCTGGGATATATTACTAAACTACCAGAGTAATAGAAATTTGGACAGGTAGGTCAGGAAATTCATGAATAGGTGACAGGCATTTCTGATAAGCCCATTTGGCAACTGTCCTGGAAACTACAACAGTAGCTTAGAAACGAGCATGAAGGAAGTGATTTTGACTCACTGTACTCTTGAGTACTCTGGGCTTGCTGTCCAGAGACAGTCACCGTGCTGTGCCCCTCCCCACAAGCACCATACAGCGATATTTACTTCCTGATAACCTGAACAGCCCAAGTCCTCTTCTTGGCCTCTTTCCGTGCCAGTGCCCCTCGCCAGCAAGCCTCTAGCTTGATAGCTGCAAGAATTAATCAGGTCCTTGTATTAGTATTAGAGGTCCTATGGCACGGTATCCTGTGAGTTCACGGAGCAGAAATTTTAACTAGTTCTTTTGCAGCTCTTCTCTTCAGCTGATCTTTACAGTAAGAAGTCGAGAACATTTTGCTCTCCACAGTAACTGGCTGATCTAACACCACCTGTATTGCAGAGCTCAACCTCAGCAGCACCAAACCTCGTTGCCATCCAGGTTCCCACTGCACCCTAAATACAGCAAGCAGCCTATCCTAGGAAACTGGTCTTTTAACCTGCAGTATTATATAAATAGCCTGTCCACTTGTGATCAGGCAGTTGTACTTCCCTAGCAAGCTAGAGGAGCCCTTAAAACATAAGGAGAAAAAAAAAATTAAAACAAGTATCTTAATACATCCCCACACGCACAGCAGAGGGTGCTGCTGCCCTACAGAACTGGTCACAGCTTTGAAGCGAGGCAAAGAGGAGCGCATGGTGTGAGGAGTAAAGAGTGATGCTTGAGTGTTCTTCATACAGCTGTCATAGGCACCTGAACCTAACATCCACAGCCCTGTGGGGACGCTGTAAGTGCTGTCTGCAGCTAAATGGATTCAGGACCTTTCAAAGCTGCAACTCTAACTGGAGATTTTAGCTCTAAGCAGCGAATCCTCGATTCCAATTTAACCCTAAGAAGGCAACCCTCGATTCCAACGTCTGTACCTGCTTCTCTCTTCTTCTTGTACTCTCTCTTCCCAAGGCATCCTTTATATTTGGCCTGTAGTCTTGAAACTGGAAAAAGAGTAGAGAGACGTTGCTTGTATCTACAGGATCACAGCACTTAGGAGCTCTGCTCCCAAACTCACAGTGAGAAATTCTTTTAGACACCCTTCAGACCCCAGGTCCCAGTCACGACCATGGAGGGTTCTCCACAATCACTGCATACAGAACAAAGGTACCAAACCATCAATGAAACAGGAACATATATAACCCAAATAGGAAAATATGCCTTTAATCTGCAATATGCATTTCAAGCAGGGACAAAGAGGTAACACTAGGATGCCCAGTTTACAAGACAGGTGCTATCTCAATCCCGGGTGAAAGGTAATTATTGCATCTAGACATGTACAACATTACTAGCATGACCAGGGGGATGAAGCAGCAAGGAGCTCTAAAGAGTGATGTATTCAGAACTCAAGCAATGTAGCTAGTGATTTTCCCCATCCTGAAAACAGACTAACATAGAAAGTTTCCTGGGACTGTCCAGGGCTACACAGACTAGGAGCCTCAGCTCTCAGCGTGGTGCATCTGTTAATGAATCTAAAGCCCAGAACCCACAACACAGTTTAGTTAGGCTCTGCTTTTTAGTCTATATGATAAAGGGAACTGAAACCATACCTAGTAGGTGCTTTCTGAATTCAAACGCATCTTCAGTAGCGAACAGAGTCTTTGGGAAACGAATGAATATTTTGGTTCTGAAAAAGAGACCATGAACAGCTTATTCACAATGAACCATCATTTCAGCTGTTCTAACTGGGCTAAGAGTCCTCCAACTAGCTGTAGTATGGAGAAGTTACATCTCTTTCCATAACTACTTCTCTTCATTCACCTAGCTCGCACATCCTGCCAAGCACTTTTTCAGAGGGCAGCAGGGAGAGGGAAGGGAGCAAAGCAGAAATAGTTACCACGCAAGATCCCAGTGCCCTTGGATGGAGTAGCATAGAGAGTTCTGCTTATACATGACTTGTAACTTTTAACACTGGGATTCTTGCACGTTTTCCAGGAGTTGTGGAGCTCAGGATAAACAACTGAAACGCAGTGAAAATAGGCTTCCTTTTCTTAGCTATAATTCTAGCCAATTAATTCACAGATTCTGTTGGCCACAGGTCATGTAAGAGAACCCTGACTGGCCCCATGTCCTGTCCGTCATGCACGAAAAAGACAAGATTGTGGTTCAGAAGTGGTTGCAAAGGCATTAAAAAAGTTCCTAGGCCTAAAATAGGCAAGTTGCCTCAGGCTGTCCAAACATGTATGGGACAGGGATGTAGGAAGACCTGGAACTGAAGCAAGGCAGCCCATCTCTCCTAATCCAGAGATGGAAGTAACTAGACTAGCTTCCATGGAGATATGAAGGAGTGAATAAACAGGACATCTATCCATATAGGCATTTTATTTAATCCCCCTGCTCTGTGCACTGTATGCCTTTGGGGTTAGTTTACTTTGTAAAAGTTTTTACTTTTCTTGCTTTAAAGAAGTCACTAATCAGAAATTGTCAGATTTCCAGACCCAGGTAGGCCTGCCCTGTTCACATAGTCAAAACAGGAGCCAAGCTTAAGGGGTCTGTTGACACGGCTGCATCCTGCAGCTGTCAGGAATGTAGGGTATGGTGGCTTGCACTTGCAGACAGAACGGACTACCAATTACAGCATGCACTATGCAGCTGACAAGCAGAGATCACAGCCAGAGAAAGGAAGCTTACCTTCCTAATTTGTATTCCTCAGGCTTGTAACCAATATACTTTATGAGCCTCTCTACACCCTCAGCTGCGGGCCCATGCCAGTGTGGCCAGGTAGCTGGACACAGGGACTTATACCTAAAAGATAAGCAAGACATCAACATAAATCAGTTCAGGTTTGAGGCATGCCCCCCTCCCTCAAAGGGCTACTGCTTTATTCAAGGCAGATGATGTCAAAGCAGATTGGTATGGGTGTTTTTGTTTTATTTTGATTTTTTGTCTGTATCCATTTCAAAAAAATTAAGCCAAACCACCTTTGGAGATTATATGTTTTGAAACAGGGAGGAGAGGAAAAAAAAGAAAAAAAAACAAAAGAAAAAAGCATCTGCTGATACTTACACATCTCAGATCACTGGGACGTGACATTTAAAAAAACCCTGCTCTGAGGCCCTCATGGGAGCACCTTGCAAGGGAGTAGGGAGGGCAGGTTCCACTTGGCTAGAGGGTAGAACAGCTCCATTTACCTTTGCAAGAACAGTTCATACTTCCGCCGGTATGCAAAGCCAGCTCGTCTCACCCGCAAGTGCTCCATCAGTCCCAGGTACTTCACCTGATGTCGGATTAGGTAATCATCGAACTTCCCTGTAGTAAGCACACACATAGTCACTGGTAAATACTATCAGTAAAGGCTCATTCACTGTTCTACACGCTGGGACAGACAACAGGAGAAAGGAATTAAATCCACGATTGCCCAAAGTGACTTCTTGGCTGCCAGCTTAACCAAGAAATACTTTTTTGCCTGCTGTACCTAGCTACAGCTGAACTAAGGCCTCCCTTTCTTCATTCCTTTACCTCAATCATGCATTCAGCCCAGTGCCTTACCGGGCTCCTTGTTTTCATTAGGTTTAATGCATCGGACATAAGAAGGTTCCTTGGACATCAGGATTTCTATTAGACTCGTGAGGCTGTTTTTGAACTGGGTTGCAACCTAGAAAGACATTGACAACCTCTCTTAGCATTGGAACTCATCCACTACATTGCAATCGACTCATTCACTGCACCAATCTTAAACTGTAAGTTAAAGGCTGATCTATGCATTATTACCAGCTTTAGAAGCATAGCTAACCATAAGTTATCTGGACAGGGTGCTTAGCTGGAATATCTGAATCCCTGCCATGCAGCTGGACACGCAAGGTAGCCCTTCAGAAACTAAAAATTGTTGAATGCTATGCGTAGAGCTCATTTTAGAATGATACCTTAATAACAATATTAAGCTGTGTCACATTGCTAGCTGCTGTCTAAGCACTATGACTATTCAACTACCAGGAAGCCAGCACAGGTGTAACACCAGCAAAAAATTCCACTGAATTCAGGATGAAGGACAGGAACGGAAGCTAAATCATGCGTCAGGAAGCTGTTTCTATGCAAAGTTAAGATTAAAGATGAAACTCACAGTCTCTGGCCTCCTCCTGTTGTCTAGTTCTGATAGTAAAAAGCAATCTCTAATGATGCCATTTTTAGAGTTGCACAGCACCTGGAACAGGATAAAGGAAAAGCTGCCACATTTAGCAGGCATGATATTCCTAACTGCAGTGCTTCTACGCTGGAAAGGCACAGCTGTAAGGACATTCAGCACTAGAGATTATTGCTTGAATTTCTCTGCTAAGAGTCACAAAAATCTAAAACTGAAGTGATCCTTCTAGTCATCTGTTTTGACTGCTTTCACATGATCACTAGATGTCGCACAAATCCATTAGAAGGACAGTGAATTATGTATTAAAGACTGACCTACAAAGTTTAAGGCCAGAAAAAGCCTAACTTCCTACGCCCAAGTCACCTTAATTTCATCAGGCCACCTACAGATCCAGCCCAGTCTGTGACTAAACCATGTAGTTGCCATATCTCTGTCTTGTAGATATATTCAGTAAAAGCCTTTTTATTGGTTTTGATTTCAGCCAAGGATAATCCTCTCAGATCTAGACTGGCTCCATGCAAATAGCTAAGGAACACAGCTAAGGAGAAATCTATGTTCCTCTTTGCCACAGGGGGAAAGTACATCTGCAAAACATCTCTTTGTTTCAAGAAAGGTAGCTTACAAGAACAGCACCCCTTTTTTGTTCTCACCTCTTTCAGGTTTCTGTACAGGAGATCATTATTCTTCTCAAGAAATCCTGAAAGGCAAAAGAAGTTTCCATTCTTCTTGGAGGCCACACTCTTTAGCATAGAAGTTTCAGGAGCTTAAAGAGGAGGTCTCCAGTTTTGCCAGGAGGCAGTTGTCTACTTCTACATCAAGAACCCCAACAAACCAGCAGGCCTGCAACCCTCCCCACAGCCATTCTGGCTCTCGGTGGATATGGTTAGACTATGATGGTGAACTTCATTTATTGACCTAATGGGATATCACCATTTCCTGCTGCAGCCATTATCAAACAAAACTTGAAGAACAGATATTTTCTCGAGCCTGCCTCCATTCAGTGGCCGCCTTTTGGCTCTAGGAGCAGAGTCAAGCCAATACATTCAGAATTTGTGTCCACAGCTCAGTGCAGATAAGTATCAATCCTGCAAAAACATCAAGACTCTGCAGCAGGAGAACATTAATTTATCTGGATTTTCCTTCTGAAGATTTAGGCCTTGGGAATTCACACTGAATTCACATTTTAGACTACTGAGTAGGAGTACCTTCTGAAGGTAGGTGTTTTGTAATTCATCTTCATGTCAGATTAGTATTTCCCACATTAGTTTAAATGCTCAAGTAACTTCTAGACTGACATTCTGTTCACACTCACCAACAGCACAGTAAGTGACTTCTCCTGCATAGTGAAGGAGACGGAAATCCACCCAGTCAATTGATTTCCGTGTTTTCTGATCTGCAAGCTTGCGGCTGCAGAAAGAAACAAGAAGAAAAAGCAGCAAATAGATTTCTTTAGCTTGTAGGAATTCACCTGCACAACAAGCAGCTGAATGACAGAGAGGAACAGGTTTTAAATAGGCTTCTACCAACATGGCTCTGACTATACAGTTATGGCCCGTAATCAAAGAATTATCCACCCGTCCATTCCGAACAACTAAAAGCAGGAGTCAGCGCAGAAGAACAGGAGTCATCTATTACCAAAGAAAACAAAAATATTGATGATCTATCCATTGCTGTTTGAAAATGATCACTCATTCTGGAAGTACTAAGATTTTCTTTTATAATATTTGTTTAAATATATTCTCCTCTCACACATGCTAAAAATACCACCAGGTTCTTCAAATTTCAAGCTGAAACCAGGAGGGAAGGATTGCTTGAGATAGTTTGTCCCAGAAGCAAAAACAAGAGTTCTCCATAGTAGGAAAATGTTAGAATGTGAGAGCTCCTGGATGAGAGAAGAGAGAAAGGCAGGGGGCAGGAAAAGGTAACTTGACAGTTCAAGTTTCAGCTGTGTAAACTGCACAGTTGTGGGTCAAAATAGTACATTAGTATATTAAATTTATTAAAATTTCCTACCAAGTGTATTGTCAAATACCGTTCCTATATAAGCAAGTAGCTCTAGCACTTCTATTTAAACCTTTTGATCAGAAAGAGCAGTATTAAGACACACTGTGGTGACAAGGAATTTGGCTACACATTTTTCATGTCATTGTGACGAACTTCAGAGATCTAGAAACACAGTGTATTGTAAACAGTAAATTCAGTAGCTTGACTCTGAATTTGACTTGTCAAAGATTTTCATTAGGCTTCTGTTAAGAACTGCCAGAACAATCTAGTGTGAACGTGTTAATCGGCCACTAGAACTGAATCCACAAACAGTATAAATTAAATATTTATTAATAAACACCATACGTTTGGGAGATTCTAGTAAGAACGTATTTCTTCCCTACTCCTACGAAAGCTCACACCTATCAAGATGGACTCTTGAAAGATATCTATGTACACCTCTCAGCCTGAGGCCTTTAGCTCCTCTCCACAGTATATTTAACTTTCATTGAAGTCAGTGGGGGTCAAAGTCACCTACATTTCACAAGATCAATCCCTAATTTTTATACAGGACACAAACACGGAATGAAACCAGGCTCAAAGATCAGCAACCCACTGGAAAAAGACAGAAATCCCCCCTCCCATAACGATCCAGGTCATACTCTACCAGGGTAGATCATTACAATGGTAGACAGGCTGCTCATCTTGTTTTTCTTTGGTACTAAGAAAAAGCATTCCCTCCCCATAACAGAGTATTGGGGAGGTCCTTGGGAAGAGTTTCCTTTGTGGTAGGATACAGAGCATAAGTGCATACGTCACAAAGTGGGCATGATCTCCTACTTTCTCTTCCAGCTTTTCCAAGAAGCTCAAATCAGTTGCTTCACCAGGCCGTAAGCATTCCTCATCCTGAAACAACAAGCAGCAGATCAAAATGCTATTCTAAACAACTTGCAAATAACAACACACCCTCTCTTTATTAATATTTAGTATAATATTGTTATGCAAAACCAAAGACCTTTGTTATAATTTGAAATGAGTTCTACTTTATACAAGCAATTTCCTGGTTAAATTTAGACCTTTTTTTCCTGTTTCAAGTAGAACTGTCAAGGTAAATCGAATTAAGTCGAATCTACCTTTTTTCCAAATCAGCAATGCCCTGCCTCATCCTTTATTACTTGTAGCCCACTTAAACAAAAATGACAGTGTGAAAGATGATGTTATTGGACACTACAATCCAGAAGGGCCTGAAGAACTCTTGATCTGGATGAATCAGAGTTGGAGAGGAAAGATATACTCACAGGATACTCTCTTCTAACTCAAGAAACAGCTTCTACTGTTCCCACAAATATTCTAAGTGTAGAAAAGCTTTGCCTGAAAGAACAATCTTATTGTAACAAGATACTAATGCTAAGCTTCAGTAACACCCTCTCTGGGTTACAGTGAACTAATCCTTTGTCTTCTGTATTGAGGTGATGAAAATTCTTATCTTTGTTGCAAGTCAGTGGTAGTGGCAAGGCAAAATTTACTTTTAAGTTTGGTTACAAGTTTCTACAGGAAGCTTACTAGATTTCTTACTAATCAGGGCTTGCATTCTAGAATGTATCACAATAATTAGCTTTTCTGCTTAGTTTCCCTGTGCATATTTAATCAGAGTGAAAAGGGTTACTCCACCCTGCAAAAGAGTCTCCTTATTAAAGGCTCTGGAGAGAGCTGCATTCAGCATCTCCCATTTCTCCTCCTCTCTCTCTATGAAGGCACAAAGAGGATCTCCTTTAGACCAGTAGTTTAGGAACACTTGCATCTAAAGAGCAAAGAAATAAGGGTAAGATCAGTAGCTCAGGAGGGAGGCAGGCAGTTCTCAGGTCTCTCCCCGCTAGCTGAAGACTTCTGAGTCATTAGACATCAAGCCTAGCAAGTCATGTAAGCAAACAGCAAATGTGAAGAGCTGTCCTCTTTCATCTTTAATAACAGCCAGGATACCTGGCTTCAGATGGCATGGAGAAGCCATGGCTAGGAGAAGCATTC